GGCTAGAAATTGGCCTCAATGATTTGGGATCGAGGGGGATTATCCCTCTTTATCCTGCCTCATCTCGTGTAGGCCTGGACAGCCTTCGTAGGTGGGCCCCATCCGTCGTCTACCCCGACCGCAAATGCGGCCGGTGTAGGCGCTTTGTGGAACCTCCTTTTGTCCTGGCTGGGTCCTGCCGGCTAGGGGGTGGTGTCATGTTCATGGTTGGGTAGGGTGGTGCGGCTATGCAGCCTGGGATGCGCTTTGCTAAGTGGCCCTTAGGCTAGCGCGGGAAGGGAGAGGTAAGGAAGGTATGGGGGTGTGTGTGTGTTTGTCGTTGTCTTCGTTTCTTGATCCTGGCGGTCTCTGAAATAGAAAAGGTTAGCGGGCAGGGGGCGGGATGTCGTTGGGGTGGTCACCCAGGGTCAAAAAGTTGGTGTCTACGTCTGTTGTGTTTGTCGGTCACGTTGGGTACGTAGTCAACGGCTTGCCTGAGGAGGGGATTGTCATGTCTAGCGGCTACGTCAAACCGTTTCTCCGCGTTTTGTCTTATTGTCTGTGTAGCGTTTGTGTATTGTAAGTCTCGTAATATGTCAGTGTTTCTTACGTACCAGGGCGCGTCGGTGGCCGTGCGGAGGGCTATGTTTTCCACAGCCTGTAATGACTTTAAGTGGCTTTTTGCCGCGTGACCCCACGCCGTGGAGGCGTAGGTTAGCTGCGGTTGAAGTACCACCTTGATAAGCGTTCGCTTATTCCTTAAACTGAGGGTGTTTCCACCTTTGAGTAAGGGATAGAGCCTAGCCCTGGTGGTCTTCGCTCGCGCCACCGTCTCCACGATGTGCGGTTTCCACGTGAGACGCTGGTCCATCGTCACGCCCAGGTATCGTGTTTGTCGATTCCAGGAGATAGGTTCCTGGGATAGTGTCAGTCTGTCGAGGTTTTGTGGGATTTTTCGTTTGGTAAAAAGGATAGCCGAACTTTTGTTGGGATTAATTTTGACTTTCCACCTGTTGCACCAGGTTTCAAGTTGGTCTAAGGAGTTTTGGAGGAGGGAGACGGAATATCTAGGATCTACGGATTGGGATGTGATTGTCAGGTCGTCGGCGTATAAGTATATGTTGGTGTTGGGGGGATGTGGGATGTCGGAGTTGTAAATGGTGTATAGGTGTGGGGACAGGACGGTGCCCTGGGGGACACCGGCCTCCATGGGACGGGTGGTGGAAAGGGAATCTTGGATTTGGATGCGGAATTTTCGGTGGTGTAGGTAGGATTTTATGAGTTTGGTAAAGGATATGGGATATTAATTGGTTGGTGCGGAGACGGGCGTCCCCTCAAGGCACCGTCCTATTCCCACACCTCTACACCAAACCATGCACCCCCCAACGCAAACACTTACATATGCCTACGACATGACAATAGTACCACTACCCTCCTCCAAATCTCATTAGACTAACTTGAAACCTGGTGCATCAGTGGAAGTTCAAGACAAAAGTATTCATTGCAATCCTATTCACGGAACGAAAAATCCCTCACGACCTCGACATACTTACACCACCTCATCGCTCTGTCCTTACCGAGTAAACATGGAATGGTGCGCATGCCTTAGAAGCAGATGCCGATGCGAGAATGTGACAATTTCGCTAGATACAATAAGCAAAATGTCACAATCTAAGCAGTGGACAATCTGTAGTAAGGACCACAGCCGTCTTGCTCTCGCCACTCGTTCATGATTTTGTGTGCAGGGCATGCGCATTGGGTTCTAATTCCTCGGGAGAGACAAAAAAGTATCTCCTTCTCTCCGGACAATTCCGCACACAGGGGCCTATAGCCGGCTACCAGTATATAGATAATAAGTATATGGTGGCGGCCACACCTTTATTTTAAGAAATAAGTAAACGCTTATCAAGATGGTACTTCAACCGCAGTTAACTTACGTCTCCGCGCCCTAGTACGTAAGAAATGCAGACATTCTAGAATTCTTAAAAAAGCAAAAAAAAATGTAAATTGTAAAGACATCGATCATGGCGCCATCTATAAATGTTTCTACACATTAATATTGAATTAAAATGAAACATGCTAAGAAATTAGCTTTATTTTCTTATCTACGTGTTAGATGCTGTGGTCACAGCTTATACTAGTTCTGTGCTAGTTTTCTCTCTTATCTATGGCTTATCTTATAGCACATATTAGATATGTGGTGTGGCGATGTATAAAATCACAAAACAGAAAAGTATTATATGTTTTGTGGTGGTGATGTTGATAATTGTTTAAAATAAATTCAACAATGGTATTAACCCCAAAAGAATCTGGGAAACTTATTCGATCTTTATCAAAGCAAGTAACTATAAATGAAGAAGGAATAGAAAAGCTTGGAAATGTATTAATAGAAGAAATTAAATCTGGAAAACTGTCTCCAGATAATTTTAGCCAAACACCTGTACATCCCAAACCTGAAGATCCATGGGCAATAGACTGGATATTTGTAGTGGACACGTTAAATTTCTGTTTCTGGAGTAATGAAAATGAGGAGGGCTGGAAAGTTGAGGGATATACAGGTTACTTTGCTTTATGTGCTGCAATTAAACGTGCACAAAGAGAAAAGGTATATTCTAACCTTAATAAATACATACAACACATATTTGATGAAAAACATTTTTGCATTAATTTTTTTTTATTATTAAAAGTATTAGTTGATTCGTCAGGCAGATAAAAAAGTCCTTAGTTTTTTGAATTTTTAGCTGCTTTACCCTAAAAATAATAAAATAAAAATTGGCAACCCTAAGGCTAAAGTGTATATTCTAATCCTTCCAAGAGTGAAATTTGTTGTCCAAGAGGTATACAGGGATTAAAACGCACTTTAGTTCAAACGTATATAAACTATTTTTTGCACTCCGTGAAATAAACTAAATTAATTAAATTAAAATTTTTATATAAGTACTTGTTTGATACAATCAATACTTTCTAATAACGTCCCAACGTCCCTAGACTACTAAAGTACTGCAATCACCCTTCATTTTGGAGCAAATTGCCTGTTACCAAACTTGATATCTTCAATAGGATGTAAAAAATATAATTTAATACATAGATATGTGATGAAATGAAAAACATATTATTCAAACATTTATCATTTTATTGAAAGGAACAGTATATCACATGGGTCAATAAACGAAATAATTTTAAGTAACAGTTTATTTGACAATAAACCAAATTTTTTTATTTTAAATAGTAGACGATTAAATTTTAATAGTCTTTTGATATAGGTACATAAGTAAATACAAAATCGTTTAATAAATGTTAATGTGCAGCAGACTTATGGTGCATCAAACACGATGTCACATTATGTTAAACCACCATTTTGGAGCAAAATAGGAAGAACGGTTGTAGTATTTGGTTAGTCCACGGACATTACTTTGTAATAGCTGTCAGATTACCTTGCAGTTATTTGATTTCCTTTAGTAAATGTTCGTTAGGTTTTGTTAGAATTAAAAGAACTTTTATGGATGCAAGAATATTTTATATTATTTATTTAGGACATTTTGTCTCTTTTAGATTGATATTTTGAATCCCAAATTTTATTCAGCAATAACTGAAGAGGAGCTAAGTAAAGTCCTTCGGAGCGATAATAAAGTTGTATGTCCTCTTATGAATGAAAGACTGAAGTGTTTACATGAAGTTGGAAATGTGTTATTAGAAAAGTTTGATGGTTCATTCGAAAATGTTGTAAAGAAAGCAGAAAATAGTGCAACAAAATTATTGAGTACCGTTGTAGATAACTTTAAATGTTTTAAAGATGAGGCTATTTACAAAGGACATAGAGTAGCCTTATACAAACGAGCGCAAATATTAGTGGGAGATATTTGGGCCTGTTTTAGAAATAAGGGTTTAGGTTACTTTAAAGATATAGATCAAATTACAGCATTTGCCGATTATAGAGTGCCTCAAACATTACTATGGTATGGAGCTTTTAAGTACAGTGATGAATTATTAAATAAACTTACTTCAAATAAAATATTCCAAAACGGTGAAGAAGAAGAAGTTGAAATAAGGGGATGTACTATACATGCAGCTGAACTGATAAAAGAATATGTTCTCACAAAAGTTGATGAAAATCGAATTAACTCAGTTTTAGTGGACCATTTTTTATGGGATTTCAGGAGAAAACATGCAGATAAGATTCTTGAGAAAGGATTACCATTCCATAAAACGTTTAGTATATATTATTAACATTTCACATATTAATAGAAATAGAAAATAAATTGTTGTTTATATAAATTTAGCAATAAATATTTTACAGTTAAAGTCTATATTCCTGAATTCTGTAATTGGTCTTTATTGTGTAAATTCCAAATGGGATGAAAGTAAAAAAGGATGAATTTGAATTATTAATCACCTCCTACCCTGTATGCAATAGGTGGGATTTAATTAATGCTGTGCAAATTAGTGTCCAGATGCTCGAAGTCCGAGTTTAAAAGATGTATATCTTGAAAAGCTTCAAGATATCGCAAAAAATATATCTACAGTTTTCTTTTAAAAAGGTGCATCTCCCTTATTCATTTTTGGAAAAGTTTATATAAAAAGAGACCTTACTTTTTATGCCATCTGTCCGAAAAGTATCGGGAGACAATTAAGACTACCTACAAATATTTTTTATTTCCATAGTTATAAGCGTAAGCAGGTGACATTCTTATGCAAATGAAATTATATTTCATCGTCTACCCCTACAAAAAGAAATCACAATGATTAAGATCTGGTGACCTGCCTGACCCTAGCTTTCCATGACCTACCCACTTATGAAAAGTAATACTTAAGAAGTCTCATATTTCACACTTAAAATAGGCTGGCATAGAAAACTCAATCTGATTTTGCAAAAATCGCAGAGGTTTCGTCTGTTGAGACGATCCAATAAGATAGGAGACCTAACAAAAATACCATTGGCGATAGCTGGCCCACACATTTACTAAATATACAGGGTGTCCCGTTCATGTTTCCAAAAAACTTTTGAGCAGTTCCTCACGAGAAAATAAAAGGGGTAGTTCATGTAAAGTTTTTTTTCTTAGACACCCTGTTTTCCAGATACAGTGTGTTGAAGTTATTACTTTCCAAATGGTTTTCCTTAATTATCTTTAAATCGGCTAAAGATAAAAATGTCAAAATTTGTACACGAGTAAAGATCAACTGTACGTTAAGAATAATGTGCAAATGGTTTCTGAAAAGCAGTGTTGCCGATACAGGTAATTAAAGGGGTACAATCGAAAAAAAATATGTTAAAAGTCATAATTTATTACATTTCTAAATGGTTCTGTAAGCTCTTAAAGGATACTACAAAAAAAAAGGTATACTTGTTGAAATTTGGTAGTATGTACCATTTTCTAGAAAAATTAAGTTGCATTTTCTTGCTCACAAGTACATTAACAAAATATTAAATTGAAAGAGTACCTTACCATTACAGCTGAAGACATTTAACTACCAACAGTATTTGCATTTAAGACTATAATTTTAATTTCTTACGTGTTAAGTTAAATTGTAAAATATTTTCTTAACTAAAAAAAAAAATTAAAAGGAGGGCCCCTAGTAGATATGCTAGGGGCGTACGGTGACAAAATCCCATGTATTTTCTTATGGAGGTTCATCCTGGTCATTTTTGACGAATTTTACCCCCACTCCTCCACCTTTTCCCTTCCCCGCCAGCCAATCAGAGCGCAGCATTTTGGTCGAGAAAAATGGCGGGAAATTCAAATGAAGTCACCTAGGACTTTGCCCCTCGGGCCCCCATGTAGGTATCTCCACGTAGGTATGCAGAACCCCCCACGTAGACGCGTGCTCCCTAGGACCCTCACCTAGGGCTTTGCCCACCTAGGGCTTTGCCCCACCTAGGGCTTTACCTCACCTAGGACCTTGTCCCCTAAGGCCCCATGTAGGTATCTTCATGTAGGTATTTAGGATTCCCTACGTAGACAAGAGTATTGTGCGTAGGCCTCCACGTGTACCCCGCGTAGGTATACCTAAATTGTTTAGGGCTTCGCCCGCCACCGCGGGCCCCAACGTGACGTAGACAGTAGTCGCGATTTTCATTTCGCAATAGTAGTTTATAACGCGGCCGAGCGTGTATCCGTAGATGGCGTTGCAAGTGGAGCGCGGATCTAATAAATATGCCTGTATATTTAAGTATTACAAACTACGGCTAAAAAATATTTACTGGATTTTACTTTAGGAATGTTTGTTAAAATAGAACAGAAAGGGTCAATCCTTCTTCGTCTTAAATGTTCATATATATTTCTTAAGTTCATATTAAAGCCCAATGATAAATTGTTTTAAATAGAAAATTGTATTGAAATAGAAATTATTCTGCTTAGGTCGGACTACAATTATTGATAGAAAACTAACGCTTCAAATAATAACAGTTTATTGCCTATAAAAGCACAAAGCAGAGACGTATCGGACAAATATATTATGTATTAAGGAAAAAGTACATCTACTTAACTAAAACCGTTTTTAAACCTAATCATAATGTGTATTCTTAGCCCGTGGAATGTCTCTGTTCTATAGCCTGCTGCTGCTTCTAAGGCGATTTTTATCTACAGGGTTGTAGGTACCTAGAGAAGAGGCACGGAATGAGAAAAAATCTCAGTATGTGTACTAATTATAAGTATTATGGGGGTATAGTGATTTTAATTCAGGCAACGGTTTTCTACGACTCGGAATCATTATCAAAACAGTATGGATATTTGCGAAATAAGTGGTAAATTTATTCAAAAATTAACGCAGATTTTAGAACTTGTACAGGCTGGCGGTACACACAATCAAAAGTGGATTAATCGTTAATTACGGTTACTTCGTAAAGCTTCAAAAATTTAGATTAGGCGCAAACTAGTTGATTATTCGAATTAAAGCCAGACGGGGAATACGTCAATTTCAATGAGGAAAGCTGTGTAAATTTAGTCTTCATATTAAAAGTTTGAGATGATAAATTCTTTTATTTTTTTTAAATTGTATTGAAATAGAAATTATTCTGCTTAGGTGTGTGATAAGAAAACCAAGTTAACAAACGCTAGCACAGCTGTCTTTGCTGTCTCAGCAAAACGGTCAATAGCCTGTTCTGGCGATATCAAATGCAGTCACTGCACTAT